GAAATGAATTACAGTAGGATTTCTGTGCTGTCCTACCTGGTGACGTTTGCGATTAAGTAACTTCCAGGCTCTTCGTAGTCCTCTGGAGTTGAAATTCTTGAACTATATTTATAGCAGGTGAGTAAGGTTTGAACACTTAATTTTGCTTCTGTTGATTTAAAATTGTAGGCTATGTTGAAAACTGGCAATTAGCTCTGTCATCTTGGTGTCAGGTGTAGAAGTCTCTCAGACCTATCTTAAAAATGGGAGTTGATTCATGCTTTATTTGTCTTTCTAGTCACTTGAAATAAGAGCACACATTTGTTGTTTTCTTGCACTGAGTTAGGTGCCAATAGTAGAAATAATACTTCATTATTTCCTTTGGCGTTGATACACTTTATGTGAACTTTGGAAGCTCTGTAAACAAATAAGATGAATTATATAAGCATTTAAGACTCAGTTACCAATACAGCTGTATTGTGTTCTCACCATCCCTTTTTCCAGGCTCAGTCACATTCTTAAAACACTCTGAACCCCCCCGTTTCTCCATGCTTCAACTCACTTATAGACCCTTTTCGCCACAGATGTTGTCATTCCCACTCACAGCTACCAGATGGGGTTCAGAAGCAAATTCCAAATAGAGTAAACTCTTATGAAATTTGGGCTAGAGACTTCAAGCCTGTCTCATCATTGAACACAGTCATATTTGAACAGGGAGCCTGTGGCGGAACAAGTGACAAGAAAAGTGTTGGCCTTCACAAAAATGAAAGGATTGTATGAAAGATCTCAGCTTCTCCTTTGCTTGTGTAAGTTCTTCTTCATAGACGTTCTTTGCCTTTGTTTTGCCAACTGATCATCTCAGCAGTGTTTGTGTTTTGATATGTTGCAGCTGAACGTCAGAGAGTCTTGCTGTTTTATCTGTATTTTTGAGTATCATCTTTGCTGTCCATCTATATTCATGTATAAAAGTCCTGATACCCTAAATTGTCAGATTTAGTAGAACGTACATCTGCATCTTTTAAGAACTGTTTTTTAAAACTTGCTGTTTTCTCTTGGACTCCCGCTCCACTGGCAGTGTCACAAATTTAACATGTAGAAAATGTTGCCTATGTAAAATAAGGAGCTTTTTTGGGGAGTGGGGGGATAAAATAATGTGGTGGTGGTTAGTAGAAAAGCACAAAGCCAATTTAAAAGAAAAATAGGTTAATACACTGACCATGGTGTGGTGGGTTCACCTTGGCCAGCAGCCAGACATCCACCCAGCCGCTTGCTCACTCCCCCTCCTCAGCAGGATGGGAGAAAATGCGATGGCAAGGCTCGACTGTCGAGATAAAGTCAGGGAGGCTGCTCACCGGTTGCCGCCATGGGCAAAGCAGGCTTGGCTTGGGGAAAAATTAATTTAATTTGCTGCCAATTAAAATAAATTTGTGTAGTGAGAAACAAAGGAAGGTTAAACCAGCATGTTCCCCCCATCCCTCCCCCTTCTTCCCAGGCTCAACCTCAGTCCTTCACTCCTGACTCACCTGCCTCCCTCCCCACCCCAAGCTGTGCAGATGGACAGTCGGGGGGCTGCAGGCCATCAGTCTGTAGCTGGGGGGGGCTGCAGGCAGTCCATGACAGCTCCTCTCTGCTGCTCCTTCCTCCTCACATTTTTCCCCTTCTCCAGCCTGGGTCCTCCCCATGGTCTGCATATTCATGTGTTCTTGCTTTGGGCTTTATAATTTAATTTCTCTGTAAAAGAACCTGAAATCGAACAAAGGATAAGATATCAAATATTAATTTTAACAGATGGAAGTTGTGTCAGCAAAAGAGCAACAATTTGAATATAGCAGACTTGCCTTTTTCTACCTGTTTTGAATTATAAAAGCATTAGTGTATTAGACTTTCTGCCTAGTTGTGCTTTGTACTTTTAATATTTCTTTCAAATTAAAAATGGAAATGTAGCCAAACAATTCTCTAAAGGTCACTCATCTCATTTTAAAGTTAAATGAAATATTTACCCCATAAACATTTTACATGTGAATATTTACATATGCTTGTTATTCTTTAAAAAAAATAAAAATCTTAAGTTGATTTGGTTCCTTTCATTGTGGATTTTTCATCAAAAATTATATTAGACATGATGTTTGCTTTTCTGAATGACAATTAGATGGACCTATTAGCATTACATTGTTTTATAGATACTTCCAGGAAGTGGTGTTTGTTGATGGGACTGGCAAACATAACCCTCCTACCAACTTATTCCCTTAGTGCAAATAAGAGTTATTCCAAACAGAGGAAGCCTTATTCCAAATAAGAATTAAACATTCATGCCGTAAACTATTCACTGCATGGCTGTGACAGGTGGAAATAAGAACAAAAAACGAAAACCACGAATGGTGGTTTTGTCTCGGTTTAAGATCTGAGTCCTGGGGCACGCAGGGTGATGTGCTCGGACCAGCCCCAAGACAGCAGACTGGAGCACTGACAGCGGGGCTGTGGAAGCCAGGCTGCCACCCTGCACTGGGAAAAAAAAGTAAGTTTCATCGGTGCTTGGAGCCGGTGCTGTCTGCTATTGCTGTGTGTGACGCTGCTGGCAGCACGTCTCGATGCGCAGATCCGGTTCTCCAAAGAGATAGTACACAACTGTCTTTAGCTACGGCGTAAGTTACCCAAATTACTTTGGGACATAGCTGCACAGGCTCACTGACAAGTGAATGTCTGTCTCAAGCAAGTGCTTTGGGCTCAGAAGAGGCGTTCTGTGTAATCATCCATCAAACCACTCCCATTTCTCCATGAAACCCTTTCTCCTGGGCTCCTGGAACAAGAATGATGAAAAGTTGGCTGCTGTCTGGTTAATGTTCTTACAGTTTGCTTCTGCCTTCTTGCTTGGCCGCATCTGTGGTTGTCTCTTGCGTTATCGATCCCCAGATTATAAAATCTCCGGAGGATGCATCATCTCTTTGCCTGGTAGGGCTTCCCTCCTCCACCTTCTCAGCTCCCCAGGCTTCGTTCTGATTTGTGTCCTCCCTTTGGTAGGAAATTCCTTCAGCATCATCACTTTCAGAGCTGGCTTTTTGCAGCATTTTGTTTTAAAACGTACCACTTAGTAACTAATCTCAAATAAGACCAAGGCAAGTCTGTTACATAGTAGTATATAATGAGTTGTGGTATGAACAAAGAATGTGTGTAAGCTGTACACTTGCATAAAAGTCGTCCTTCGGGTCATTTTTGTGCATAGCATTCCTCTTGTGAAGCTTTGGGTAAATCAAGAAATTAAGGTTTTATTTTGTGAAATTAAGTGAAAGACAGGAATATAACTGCTTGGTAGACAAAACCAAACACAAGCTTAATAATTACTGTAGTTTGGCAATAAAATGCTTGACTAATTTTAAAAAAAAAATCAAGTGGAAAGTATTTGTGCAGTGCCAAAACTGAGGTCATCTCTTATAACTCTGCAATAGGTTAATTTAAAATTAGCAAAAATTCTCTCATACCACACATACTTAAATAGCTGTGCCTCTGTGTGTGCATACATTCCTTACTATTCCTTAGTGCACTTACTGATTGATGGGGGCTTTGTAGATGGAGGAGAATTGGATTATGTATTATGCTGAACACATTTCCATAGTACTGTTGTTTCACTGTACTGCTTAAGCTCCCAGTAAGAATTTTAATTTTGTGTATATTTTTAAGAAACATACTTTATTTTTAGATGAAAGTTTGGAAAAGTAGCTATTTTCTTAATTCTGAGAATCCAGACTATTCAGGATGACCTAAGGAGAAATGTTATTTAAAAAATTAACTTCATGCTTAGTCTTTTACATTTACGTTTTCCTTTCTTTCTGCAGAAAAAGGATATGCAAAGATAGTTTCTGTGGGTTTAGGAAACAGATGATAGCACACAAAGCCCTGTGTTTATATGCACTGTGGTGTTTTGATTTTTTTAATTAATGGTGGTTTTTGAAAATTTCAAAGCAAGTCAGTAGAGGGGTGAGCTCAGATAGTGTTTGATGTCAGCAGGTGAAAATGGCAGAGGGTCATCTGCCCTTAATTGTGTGTGTGAGGGGTGGGGAATTGTATCTATTTATTTGAAATTTTCTTAGATGGCCTTCAAAACTAAAAAGTTGGCAATTATTATCTAATCAAAGCTGCTCAGTCAACTAATGATGTCAAGCAGTAACCTTCTCTTTCTCACCATATTTCCTTTGGACTGTAAACTATTTATTACAGCTAGAAATTACCTCATCCATCATAGCAATGTAGCGTTTTTCTGTGTTTCACTATGTGGTGGGTTTATCAGCGCTGGGCGTGGGGAGGAGGTGAAGAATAATATTCTCTTTAATTGAATTTGCAGATTGGAATGTGGGGAGGAAGAACGGCCCGTGCTGGCGCCTGGCCAGTGGCCCGCATTGTCAGCCTCCTGCTAATGAAAAATGCTTTAATGACTGCACCGGCCAGGTGCCAGGATATGAAATACACGTGTTTGGCATTGTACTTGTGTCTAACGTGGATTAACGTAACATAGGGATGCCACCTGCATGCACGCGGTCTGGCTCTGGGCTGACTTGGCTGCCGCGTGTGAGAAAGAGATGAGCTCAGCTTGAGTGCATTGGGGGGGTGAGGGCAGGTGTCAGGCGTTATCATGGAGAAATAAAAGGACTTCTTACCGTGTGGTGATTTGTTCATGTGACCTTGCTGTTAGAAAGAATCATTTTGCCTTCTGATGTCATTTTCAGCAGCGGTCACTTTATCCTGCTGTTTCTAGTAAAAGTAGTGATGCTACGTAGGATATCCGGAGACGACCTGATGTGCACGTGGGTAATTAAAGCAGGTGTAATTTTAAGTTCAGGTTTTGTAAAGAATAGTGTGGCATTGCTTTTCTGAAAGGAAAGCTGATAATTGTCAAATATTTAAAAATTAGCAGTGAAATTGCAGTTGGCAAGCCTTTGCAGTAGCACTATTTTTTTTTTTTTTTTTTCCTTGTCACTGATGCCAATCTGGAATATGACTGTCATAGATTTGTTGGGTTTTTTTCTCAGAATATGGTGGCATGGGCTTGGACTTCTCCTATAACATTGCAGTGGCAGAAGAGCTGGGAAGTATCCGCTGTGGAGGTATTCCCATGGCTATTGGAGTGCAAGCTGGCATGGCTACTCCTGCTCTTACAAGGTAATTTTCAGAAAGTTTGGTTTAGCCTAAAACCCAAATCGTTATGTGTTTGGGCCTAAAACGCAATCTCTATAGGAGTAGAAAAAAATCATTGCTGTGCAAATTTATTGTCTAGCTGCTCTTCAGTAATGTTTGAGGAAGGAACCTACTCTCTACCTCTCTCAACCAGTTTGGTTTAGGGGAGAAAATACTTTTTTAAAATGTTGGAATATTATATATTAAAACATATGCCTTATTTAATAGTAGATGATATGTTTACAAACACAGAACCTTGGTGCCACAACCAATAAAACAGTTTTACTTCCAGAATCCACCTATTCATGTTTGTGTTTTTTCTTAGCCAGATATCCCAGTGCAGTCACACTAATGATGCATTCAGTTGTAATAATTAGCATCAGTCTAATTCTATTTTGTAATTTACTTGCTTTTTTCCAGCTTTACAAAGTGCTCCTCGCTGACTGTGAATTTTCAGAAATAACAATCAATATTGGTGTAAGTCCTACAGCTGTAGCAGAAGTATCATGCTTCCTGAATACACCCATTCCAGGCGATTACTCATTTTGCTTTTTCGCATTTGCTTGTGTCAGTGTTCCCCTTTTATCACTTGCTATCGTTCAGGCTTCTGCACTTTCTGAATCTGTTTTGGTTTGGTTTTGGTTTTTTTTTTTTTTCCTCCCTCAATAAAAGTGGCAGTTACCAACTTCTTCTTCATGTAGTAGTTTCACATCAAAACAGATGTTTGCAAAACTAGAGGGAGGCAACAGGCTGGTCCAGCAGTTTGCCTCTGGAATATGGATATGCGTAAAATTCTGGAAGGTGGTGGTGGGGATTAAATTCAAATTCAAATAATGATGATGAAGTCATAAATTTCTCTGCACAGAACAGATATACAAGAGGGGAATTTTTGCACAGAAGGGTATTAAAGGGGTGAGTTGGTTGTTGTTGGGTTTTTTTCCCATTCTGGATGAAAATGCCTGTAAATCCATTGTAGAGCCTGGAATGTAGGCTCTGTTTGTTACCTTGACATCCATGTATCCTTCTGCTAGGTATGTACAACTTTGGAGGTCTCAGCCATGGGAAATCTTTCTAAAAGTGTTCTTCTCCTTTGTGTAATACACCAAAACCTTGCTGAAAGCATGGAGTTCATTATGTCAGTTGCAACAGTAGCTTCTGTTTTTCAGTCCAACTGAGAGGGTAAGACTAGTATTTTAAAAGACTTCAGAGAATAGTACCTTGCTCCCATGATGGTCTTTTATTCCCAGAGGTTTAAAAAAAATCTGTGGGTAAAAGAAGATGGGATTTTGCTCCACTGCAGTTTTTTGGCCTTATGTTACTCTGTTGTGCTGTAGTGAAGCAGTGAGGCTATATACTTTTGTGCTAGTGAAATCCTAAAGTGGATGTTCGTGGTAAGTATATAAAATGGTAAGTATATAAAATATCATTACTACGATGAAATCTGTAATTGAATTTGCACCTGTATTAGTGAACTCTTCCTCCACTGTTAAGTCAATTCCACTGACTAGTTGTACACTACAGTGTCCTACTCTAAGATGTAAAAGTGAAACTCGGTTGTGAGTAGAGAAACTTGGTTGCTACAGGAAATTTAGCACTGGTGCAGCTTTACTGCAGGCAGTACAGAGAGAGGGCGAACTTCTTGTCCTGAGTCATGGGTTCACATTGCATTCACAGCCTGGATGGTTTCTTTACAGGTATCTGTGTACTATGCTGATCCTCAAGAAGTTCAAAGAGATAATCCGAATTTTGCATCTTAACTGCACATTTTTACACGTGATGTATCAATGTTGCACAAAGTAAACAGTAATATGGGAATCAGCCATCATCCCCTAAAAAAACTAGGGGAGTGTTTTAGTCTGAAGCCTTTTGTTGGCTTTCCTAACTTTGGGCTTTATTCAGCATTCATCTAGCACCTACAAGTGCACCTGCAAACCAGCTCTGAATGTGATACACCATGAAGATCCTCTGCCAGTATAAATTAGAGATGTCTCTCAGTGAGATGTATAGACAGTGCAGTAGTTTGGATGGATGGATGCGCATATGCATGCGTACACACACACTACACCTTTTTACATTTTCATACTTTGGAAAAATAAAGCCTGAAAAATATCTAGTGTTGGGTTGCCTCCTGATGCTGTTTCTGCAACTTTCATGGGTTTCTTGCTTCAGTGAGAGGCTGTTGCAAGGCTTAGTTTGTGAAGGCCTTTGAGATATTCAATTAAATGGGAAGTACGTTGTAGTAACAGTTTTAATTATGTAAACTGCGAAAAGTATAGTCATTTTGAAAATGCTATCCATATCTGTTTAACTGTTCCCTGTTCCTGCCTCTTTTCACTTTATTCTTGATGATTTTTTTCTGACAGCCTTCAGAAAGCTGTATTTATGGTCATACTTGGAAGCAACCCTGCAGATTTTGATTTATGTGTGCTTCTATTGTGTAGAAAAATATTGGAGAAAATAGTTTTGTTTCACTTGAAGATACCCAGACTTTTTTCTTTTTTCTTTTTTCTTTTTTCTTTTTTCTTTTTTCTTTTTTCTTTTTTCTTCTTTTTTCATCAGATTCCTCTAAGTGAAGCAGTAGAAGTTCTGAATTTGAGAACTAAATGCAAAATGTTTTGTCAGCATTGATCTGACCTTTGTGTCTGGTTCTGAACGTAACTGTCAGGTCTTTCAGATGTATTCAGATGTAATACTTCACTTGCTTTCATGCTTACAAGTAGAGTGGAGAAAGCAGCTCTCAGCTGAGGGAGTGAATGAGATGCATTTCCCTGGGCTTGTACAAACCTATAGGGTGACACATTCGTAGTGATACCAGATCAGTGTAGAGCTCTTTTATCTTGGCAGTAGGCAGTAAACTTTCCTTTTTTTTTCTTTTTTTTTTTTTCTTTCTTCTCCCCCCACTCCCTATTATTTATAGGAAAACAGTAAGGATAATGATGAGTATTTGCTGGGAAGAGTGCTTTTCTATTCTCATCACTGATTCTTTCTCCACCCTGAACAGCAGCATATCTGAGAATTCATGTCAAAGAGGTTACAATTCCACTGTCTCTTTTCCTGTTTGCTGTAACAAAGAGAAGCTGAAACAAAGAGAAGCTGACAATCAGAACAGCAGTTTTGAAAAGCAAGATCGTCCCCTGGATCAGTTGGGAAAAGGGTGAAAATGGGAGGAGGTCATTCAAGAGCAGAGTGGCTTTCTTTCCCAGGAGCACAGCATCAGGGGAGCTTGGTTTTGTGCTTCTGGGAGAACAGACATACTGAGTTGTCTCATTCTCTCACTTTTGGTACTTAATTTGTTAGCGCACTTAAGACAGACCACATCTTGCCCTGAGATAGAGCAGAGGCTGTTATAGGTGCAGCTTTCAACATACTGTTAAAAAAAAAAAAAAGTAGAATTAAGCATTGCTATCGTGATGGCTAGTTATGTTGCATCCATAGCCAGTTGTGCTGCTTTGTGGTTTTGAATATCTGTGAAGGTCTAACCTGGCCAGAGCAATACGGTGGGGCAATGTGAAGTCAAGCAGCTGCTTCTGAACTGGCTTTCCTCAAAACAGCTTCACACTGTTCCTATGCCTTTGAGGTTTCTCCAGCTCCTGGTGACAGCCTCACCATGCTACGGTGGCAGGTTGTCTGGTGGACATCCTTGAGGTCTCCAGAGCTGGTGTGGTAGCAGCAGGACACCAGCCACATGAGTAGCTCTTAAAATCTGCATGATCTGAAGAGAGTAATCTTTAATATGACTCCTCTTTTACCACACCTGCATCTTAGTGCAAAATGCATTCCTAAATAAATAGAAGATTGACGTAATCATTCATAACCAAAACCCTTCAGGTAGTCTCATCTTCATGAGGTAGTCACACCCATCAGGTAGCCTCATACAGGCTTCTCTTCTGTATTCTTTTCAGAACGTAGCAGTAGCTCGAACAGAGCAATTTATTTCATAAAATCTTCAAATAGCTGAAGCTTAAAGGCTTGATAAAAACTGGGAGCCAGAGCACTTACTGCTTTTTTTCTTATGCTGTCTTTCACAAAAACTAAATAAGTTTTCTAAATGTGGGGGTTTTTTTGGTTTTTTTTTTTTTAAACTTGCACGTCTTCTTATCTTGACTGAAATAGGGACTCAAGGAGAGAAAGCTGATTGCGGTGTGGATTCTTTTAAATGCAGGTTATGTAAATTACTGAACTTAATGAGGCTTCCATGCTGCCCGAGGATGCTTGCTGCTGTTCACCATGCATTTCTGACCCTTTCTGTGCCTGTAAAGAGCATCTCTTCCCTTTTGGTATTTTTCTTGCTTTACTGTATCTTGAAGATCCAAGGAGTACTGCTAAGCTGGACCTGGACATCAGATGGTAGGATGCCTGTGCAGGACTGAAGCAAAAGCGTGGCACGTGGCTTGTTAATAGTTATTAATAGTTTGAGTGTAGGAGCAGAACAGAAAGACAATTGGGAGAAATTCACCGCTTGCTAGTATGTAAGAAGGAAAGCAGCAGTAGGTCAGAGGAAGTCCATGAGTAAACTGTTGTGTCCTCTTTGAGATACTGTAGAATAATGCATAGTTCATCTGAAAATTTCTTCTTCCTTTTTTTTTTTCTTTATTTTTGCTTCAGTGGTGAGTAGTGCTCAAATGCGTGAGCTCCACTGCAAGAAAACTTGAGTTGATCAATTGCTGAGAGCTGAGTTAGAGCTGCCTGCAGCTGTTCATATTCAGAATTTCAATTTGGACTTAATAGTGTATCATACTAGTGTATCTGTCAGTTCTGAGTGGAACTTTCCTTACTAATTTAATTAATTCACTTCAGCTCAGCTTTTTTCCCCGGAAGCCGAAGAAACAAAAGATCTGTGGTTCTACCAAGATGATTATCGGCCCAATTAAGTCAGAATAGTGATGTGCGATAGACATATTTTCATTCAATGTAGCAATCTAACCTGTCAGAAACCAGATTTTTATATATATTTGAGATGAATAACAATGACTTCAAATTTCTAATTGGCAGAGCACATAAACAGAACTATGTGGATCAAGGAAGTGTTCTTACATCTGTGTTTTGCCATGGTTTTATTTTCCTTTTACCTACCATTTACAACATTGTATACCATTGTCATTTTTGTGTTTGTATTCACGACATTCCACCCATGTTACTTATAAAGTGTGGAGCAAGAAAGGATGGACCGCTTTTACGCAACTCTTAATGTGTCAGAATCTCACACTTGGGAATTCTGGGTTACGCAGCATTAACAAGGAGCTCTGGTTTATTGACTGTAGATTTGTGTGTGTATGTGTGTATACATACACACATGTATGGAAATATATTTTAGAGCGATGCTAAGGCTGCACAGTTAATCACAGGGGAAACTATGCTTTGGTGTATGGCCCCAGCCCAGAAAGCAGACGTAGTCTGAGCTGCGTTGAGCCAGAGCACGGTCTCATTGCAAACAGTTTTCTGATTCTGGAGCTGTTAAACTGTAAAGAATTGTTATTGCATTTATGCAAACCTGAGATTTTTCTGCGATGCATTTAAGATGGGTAGACTTTTACAGAAACAACATATTTCTAACACAATAGCTAGCTGCGTGCTGAGATGCATGTCCTTCCTGCAAGGCATGGAGACCCATGATCTTCTGCAGATAGTGCTGCCAGACTTTTTTTTTTAATTGCAAAATAAATTCTTCTGTAGCCTCATTTTGGGAAGAGCTGAACTGTTTTCTGGAAGTTAAACCAACCGAACAAAGGTATCAAACCAAAAACATGATTCTGAGAAAATTTTTTTGTCATGGAAAGCCTCTGTTGAAATAACTAAAGGTTGGCAACGTTGTAAGCATCAGAAAGCATTGCCAAAAATCCCAGCTAGCTCCTCTCAAAATCTGATTTTTCATGTTGTTGGTTGAGGTTTTTTGTCTAATGAATGTTCAGCTGGCCATACTTGATCATGTCGCAAGGAAAAGAAAAAAAAAACACAACACAACAAAGCACACTGCGTAACAGACATGGGGACTTTGTCCCAGCATGCTGGAGGAAGGAATAAACACTCCAAGCTCACTTCTAGTATTTATTTGGGATTGCTGCCATGATTATCAGCAGGGATAGGACTAGGAATTGAGCTCCCTGTGTGCACAAAGTGCAAGTGTCTGCCAGCTCCCAGTCTGTTCTCTGGCCATCCTGTGTCCTTTGACAGTTTTGTGTCAGCGTTGGAGTGGAGAGGAAGGGTCAGAGTCCTAGCTGAAATGGCATCACTCCTTTGGAAGTACTGGGACAGTGCTGTAGAAGGAGGGCCCAGGCAACTGCAGCCTGCTTAGGCAGCCGTCGAGCCTAAGGAGATGAGTGGAGATGCTGACCTGAGAAGCCTCATACTGAAGAGGAGGCTGAGGAGGAACTTGGCTTTTGTGGATTTCTGCTCACAGAAAATCCATGAATTTCAGTCTAGCACAGGAGAGGTTCAAGAACTAGACCATGAGCTCACCGTACTCATACTTATACTGCAGGACCAAACCAGTGAACGTTAATTAGGACAAAATCAACCATGAAATGAGATGGACCATGTTTTGAATCAATGAAAGCAGCTAACTGTTGGAAAAAAAGAAGGTGCCTCTTAACTGGATTGAAATATGACCAATTGAATTTTTTGGTTAAAGTTCCATCAGCAGTTCGCTGTTTCCCTTTTTATTTTTGTGGGGAGTAAAAGAACAGCTGGGCAGAAGCACTACTGGATTTCACTGTGTGATTTAAATGCAGATGTGAAATATTAGTAATGTAAATTCAGATATTTGCAGAGGATGGCCATCACATGTCATAACTTTTCAGTTACAAATAAAACCTGGCAAAGAGCTGGTGCAAAAGTCAGAAGATATGCAGAGAGCAGGTCCTCCATCCTGGCTGACTGCAGACTGGTGCAGGAGCATTGAGGGGAAACCACAGGGACTATGTTTATTTAGATGTGATAGCTCTCAAAACAACAGTCATAAAGATCAGATTTTGGGCATCTAGACCACACGTTTTTGTGGGAGTAAGATGGCTGAACGTTTGTAAAAACCTTGTTTAAAGTGATTGTGACTGCACTCCTGGTGGAGGCTCTGAATCATAGCTTTGGAGAGTCTTTTGGCTCTGGGACAGGTTTTACCTAGTCATAGGAAAATTGATCGCTGTGTGGGTAGAACAAAATTTGGAACTAACTTGTAAATAAAGTTTACTGTCAAAAGCTTTTAATATCCTATTTTTTTTTTTTCCATTATAATGTTGCAGGTTTGGTTCTGATGAGTTGAAAAAACAGTTCCTTGCACCAACTATAGCTGGAGATTTTGTGGCTTGCTTGGGAATCAGTGAAGCTGGAGCTGGGTCAGATGTCGCAAGTAAGTTAACCTATCAAATTGCCAATTTTAGACAGCTTGGTATTTTAATGGAAAGAATCTGGTTTCCCTGACCTTTCATTTTGCCACTATTATTTGTAAGAAATACAAAGGAAGGCAAGTCTGGTGTGGTGAGAGCAAAAAAGTAATATTCCAGGAGCAGTAACGCATGCCTCTGATGTATCCAAAAGCAATCAAATTGGATATATTTGTCAGTGAATCAATAGCTATAACCCTGTACGGGCTGAGCACAACAGAGTAATATGCAGCTGTCATGCTGGCCCTAGATTTCTCCCAGTGTTTGTTCTGCTGCTGCCTCCCCTGGTCTGTCCGAGCTCCAGCACCTCCTGTAGTTGCACAGCCACCGTCAGTTGTGCAAACCTGCAGACGTACATGGTAGGGGGTGTTCAACTGTACTAAAGCTTGCACTTCCTTAAAACAGACCTCTCCACTGAACGTGGGCAACTTGCAGAGCTAGTCTATTCTGAAAATGACGTCATCACTTTCACAATGGGTTCCTCTTGCTCATTCTTACCTCACCTCAGCCATTTCTGTCATTCTTGTGCAGCAAAAATGTCTCTGAACTGGTGATTGTTTTACTTAGAGCTAATGAAGAATTCGCCATGCCAAATCTATTAGCTTTGTGATTTAGTTACTTTGCATGCAACTGTTTTTCTTGGTTTAGTGCAGGAATATGTTTAAAAACATGGACAAATGAAACTATTATTCTAAAGTTCTTGAGGCAGTAGATAATTTGAACAGTTGTGTTAAAACAGATACTGTAGAAAAAGTAAAAGATATCTCATCTGACTGTGTATCGTGGACTTCAAGGAAAAAGGAATGACAAGAAATCACTTGTAGAGGTTTTGTTGTTGGACGCAGGATGGCTAAGCTGAACATTGTACTCTTACAAATTACTGAGATGTCTTTCTGCAGACAAAATCACCAAGTTTGACAAAAGTTTTTTTGATCAACAGAGTCCTATGTCCATGTCCTGGACAAAACTCATATTGTTTTCTCAAGACAAATAGGTAATTATTCAGTGTTAGAGCAAGGGTGCAGCAGGTAGTTTTCAAAAGAGGTAATGGGGATAATGAAATAATGGGACCAGGTCTTCCGGCATGATCCATTGCTGTGTACCTTTCTAATTAATTGATTTTGTTCATAAGAAGAATGCCATAATTTTTATAGACTTGTTTTTCATTAAAATAATTTGGAATTTAAATTTTGCTAATGTAGGAAATACAACATCATTTATTTTAATTAATGCCTCTCTAGTTTAATTAGATGATTATCAGAAATTTCTAAATATGATTTTAATTTTTTGATGCAGTGTTCCAGATAATAAGTAACATAAATATTTTTTTTAGCTGCATGTTGTTTATCATCTAGTTTAATTGGTATGATACACTTGGATTAATACAGGTAAAGAGAAATTTGGAATCAACTAGGATTACCTGATGAACCCAGACTGAAGCTGTGAGGCAGACTGCAGGATGAAATGACAATACTTTTTCACCTGTCATGAAAGATCTGATCCCTGGTATAAATCCAGAAACCAGGTTACAATGCTTCTAAAGGGTAATTAAATGGACAACTTAGGCATGAGCAGCACTAGCTTATGTTCTGAGTAGCACTGGTTTGCACGAGGCAGAGAGAACATATCATCTCCAGGTGGCCCAGCTTTAAGGTGGACTAAACTGCATGAAACTGCACTTGATACTTCCTTTGGTTTCTCGTGGTGTTGGGATGTTTGTCTCCCTTGGGTAAATGAAGGGGTAGTAAAGGTTAGCAACTGTTCATCTGTGAAGGTTGAGGACATGCTTCTGACATGTGAGCTGGTGTATTTTCAACTGAAGAATGACACAGAGTAAGGTGCATCTAGCATTTTCTTCTGCCAGTTCCAAAATTACTGAAGGTGATGCGAACACAGAAGGAAAAAAAAAAAAAAGTTTCTCTACACAAGAAGTGAAAGGTGCCTGGAATGAATTTATTCAAAATTCAACAGAACAAAAAGGACTGTGTATATTAATCTTATATAAATTTCAAGTCAATTTGAAGGAGCACCTGTCTGCTTTTAAATGTCATTGTTGTATATTGTACATAGTATTGACCATGTACGACAAAACTAGCACAGAGATGACTTGGCAAGCAGAACAGTACAGAACAATTGATATAGAAAGTGTCTTTCTTTAATTTCAGGATTCTTGGTACCACAAAGCATACACATTTGTGTTGATTGTAATGATTTTGTCTCATTCTCTCTCGCTACTGTTCCACAATTTATATAATGTTTTGCTGATAGTCTGTGAGAGAAATGTAAGAACACATCACGGAAAACGCTGCTTCTTTCTTCAAGTTACATCTTCCAGGCAACTGCACCAAGTAGCCCTGTTTGTGTCTACCTCTTCAACATCGATATCTTGTGCCATTTTGTCTCAATGGAATACAATCTTTCTGCTTTTCTGGGTTTAGGTCATCTTTTTTTGAGCACGAAAACCCAAAATTGCACACAGTGTCTATAATGGCACAAATACTTCTCCAACCCTAATGGAAACATTACCCTCTGATATGGAATGTTACATAACAGTTTGCTGGCTTGCGAATCTTGTGATTAACTATGCAGATCATCTTCATGAGCAGTTTGCTATTGAAACATTGTAAGATACAGCAATCATTTTTATTACTTTGGGCCTAAGTATTTGTACTTGCCATGTTGAATTTAAAAACTCAAGATCGTTCCTTTCTTGCTGGGCAGTACTTCAGTTGTGTGTGTTGGTGATATCTCCCAAGTTTGTGTCACCAGCAAATTTCATTAGTGTATTCCTATTCTTCTTTTAAAGATCATTAATGGAAATATTCAAAAAGTTTTGTCCAAAGGCTGATATCCAAGGAGGAGCTCCAATAGTACCCTCCCTGCACATCAGCACTTCCTCTTTTAATGCAACCTGATGCAATTTCCCCTTTGCCAAGTTCCTTACCCGCATTTCCACTTTCATCCTAATTCTTATCTTTTCAAAATTTTAACTCATAGTTGCCTAGTAGTATCAATTTTAGTTTACTTGGGTCCAACAGAATTTTTCCTGTTGTGCTTCTCTCTAGAAAGTCCATTTTTGTAACAAACAAATCAGATTAGTTTTAAATAAGATACCACTGGTAAATTGAATTCTTTTTTCTTTCCAAATGTATCCTCAGGCTGTGCAGATTGCCAAAACCAACAACCTCTGTTTTCACTAATTTTGATTTCTGTACAGTCCTTCCTGTAGATGTCTTGCTTTTGTCAGCTATATTGTGAATCTTTTTGTAATTGCATGTGAAATATTTCTTTAGTTTTGAGGTGTCCTCTGTATGCCTCATGTTTTTTTCTCATTCTGTTTTCATTTCTGTGGCCAAAACATTTTTGTTCGCCCCCTCAATCTTTGATTTTGCTGGTTTTCATCTGCAAGATATAACTTAGTTTGACCTGCAGCAGTTCTTACCTTCTGAGCTCCAAACTGTAGCTTACTTCGATGATGAATCCCTTTCCTTTCCTGTAGGCCATACCTTGGTTTTTTTAAGTGATTATTAATTCAGTTAGACTTGAAGCTATTTCATGCAAGTTTTGGGGTTTTTTCCCCTGTGCTGATGTAAATTCCAGATATGTGTTCTTCATTTTTTACTTTAAGAATACTTATTGCCTATCTTTGATTGTAGTACTGACCTTAAAAGTTGAAGCCGGCCTTTCCTTATGTCACATCTATTTAGATATATGGCTGAACTCAAGAGCACAGTGGAGAAGAAAACTTGAGGCTCAAGTATGTTGTGATTTGAATGGGGAAGTGACCAGCCCTGGTTGCTTATATGGCACTGGCTGTACCATATGCCTTTCAATGATGCCTTGTGGCCTTTCCTAGAAGGGGCCCTCACAGCATGCTTTGTAAGTTGTTGAGTTATAGGCACTACAGGGCCAATGGTGTGGACCTGCCAAAAATGAGTTACGGAGCACCCACTGAAGTAGCCTTTTCCCAGAGCTATGCTCTATCAAGGAGAATAATTACAGTCAAATATTCCAAATTATCTTCCTGGCAATATCCATGCAACTGAGTCCACTTGACTTTGTTAAGTAGGTTTTCAAAGCCTGCTGTATTTTAAACATAAAACTTATTTGTTGACTTCATCATATTTCTTCTAATTAAAATTAAAGAGAATCAACTCTTCATAAGTCAATTTTCAATAGTCGTTTCTCAAGTGTTCGAAGCAAACTGTCTACCATCACATCTGGGAGTACTTGAACATTCCCATTAGCAAGGCATTTCTTCTTTAATCTGTATTTGGGTGGTTACTCCCCTGTGACGCCATGCTTACAAGAACTGTTTACATTTGTGATAACATCACAGTGTTCATTGTTCTTCTGCAGACCTTCTGTGTGACCTCTGTCTTATCTCTTCAGTAGCTGTTCCACAGCAAAGGGATGTATGATGTAAATCACTGTCTATGCTCCCGTCCTTTTCACTGTGCTTCAGTACAGTGTCATATTTCTTATTCAGACTCTTGTGTGTCCTTCATTTATTATTTAGTCTCCATGTATATGATTGTCCAGTGTCTGTGTCCATGTATTATGAGCATCAGTACTTTAGATTCCTTCTGTTTGGCCTTCATTATTATACAGATTTCATATCAAGTCCCATGGAAAGATTTGGCTTAGTCCTTTCATTGACTAAATAGCTATATGACTACTGTTTTTATCCACATTAGTACTATCTCTTT